GTTACGTTGCAATTAATAGTATTTAGAGCGCTATATTTCAATTTACCCCCCCCCCATCGACCCCGACCGTCAATTTGTCCCCGCCCCTCTCGTCCAGTGCAATCTATCAACCCCCGCCCCCCCCACACACACACCCCCACCCCAATTCATTGACCAGCATGCTATCGTATTGAAATTAAATTATTAGGCTTAATATCAGGATAACACACACACACACCTCGCCCAAAAAAAAAAAAAAACTTTGGACGATTATTTAGAAGCCCCCTTATTTTCAAACTATCAGGACGCCCTTTAGAGTTTAGGTTTACCAAAAACTCTTTTTTGAATTTTAAGTCTTTTATCATTATAAAACCTCCTGACGTGTTTATTCTCGCAGATTTATCTTAATATTTTTAGTCTCGAGCGATTTAAATAACTTCCATTTAGCACTTGTCACCTCTCCACATGTATTGAACTCAAAAATATATAGAGTGTGTGCATTGAAAACTATCATTTGCGAATATACTTATTATTATTATTTGATGTTCTGGTGCGCGGGGTGTGTTGGTTAGCGGGGGTGCTAAAATCAGAAATTAAAGGGTTTTTTTTTGTAACACCATAAAAGATAAATGGGCTTGTTTGATATTTTTTTTGAAAGTTATAGCGAGAGTATTATCTCACTATCAATTTCCTAATATTTAAGGTGTTTTTATGTCTTTGATATTTTAAAGCTGTGATATTTTAACTATTTTATTGTGCTTTCAAAGAGTCTGATGTTGTTCAAGCCTTCTCACTGTTAGCTAATTAAGACTATAGAGCGGACGCTACGGGCAACACCACCCGCCACACACCAGACTCACACCCCCTGACTGCTACCAGCTGCCAGGCAGGCCTCCACTTGAGATTGTTTAAAAAACTCTGATCTCGACGGCCCCTTGCGCACTGTTAGCGGGAGCGGGGGTGTGTCGTGGTGTGGCCATGCTGGGGGCTAAGGTTGTGATCCGTAGCATTTTTTTAAGATTTTGTAAAAGTCAAGACAATTTAAAGGGTTTTTTTTGTGTAACACCTAAAACATAAATGGGGTTGTTGAATATTTTGAAAAAGTTAGGGAGGTTTTCTCACTAAATCATCCAAAGTTAAGGGTTTTTTCTGATATTAAGCGTATATATTATATGGTGCCTCCAAAGAGCTGAAGTTCACTCTGCATGTAGCTAATTAAGATTATAGAGCGACGCTACGGGCACACACCCGCCACACCACCACCAACACACACGAGCCCCGGCTCCTGCTAGCAACGTGGCAGGTAAGGCCGTCCTACTTCAGATTTTTTAAAAAATCTGAAGTGGGGCCACTTGGGCACTGTAGGCAGGAGGGGGGTGTGTCCCGGTGGTGTGGCGGGTGGCTGTGCCCGTAGCATTTTTTTTAAGATATAAACTAGCGGAGATATCGATGTTACATGTAAGACTTGAAGAAGACGAGAAATATCATTTCTGTTTGGGTAGATTTCAAGGAACCCCCTAAACTTTTCTGATTTGCACAAAACCTTCCGGAAATTTAAAAATTAGTTAAAACATTCAAGCTTTAGGGAGTTTCACAAACCCCCCTAAACTTTCCAGAAGCTCCGCCTAAATGATAATCATATTTTTATTACAATTTTATACCCTCATTACCTATTTTATATGAATAAATATACAACTAATAATTGTTTTTATCTTTTAATTGCAGATTAATGAAGAATAAATCTCAAACTCCCATCTCTCAACAAAAACCCATTGATTAAATGAAGAAATAAAGCAAAGAAGCCCATTGAAAAATCAATTTCCAAATTATCCAAATGCCCAAGCTAAGAAGAAGAATTAAAGCCCAAGAAATGCCAAAGCCCAAAGCCAAAACCCAAACAAATGCATGAAGAAATCAAGAATTATTCAAAAGCCCAAAACCCAAGTTGCCAAAAGCCCAACACACAAGAGGAAGCTCGGACAGAAATTGGAGAGGGCTTGACATCGATGCCAGCATCGATGGGGGCATCGATGCCAGCATCGATGCCCGTATCAATGCCAGCATCGATACGCCTATCGATGCTGGCATCGATAGGTCCGTCATTCTGTTACAGATCTAAGGCTAAAAATTATTATTTTTTGGATAAGATTTCAATCCAATGGCTCTCATTCACTGATGTTTAATATAAATAGGGGCAGAGAGTGAGAGGTTAGAGGTGTGAAAATTTTTGTAACTCCTTTTGGAGAGGATGGATACTCTTAATTGAGAAGGCCTTCTAAATTTGCAACTTTTTGTTATAATTAATAAAAGAATTTTTTTCACTACTTTAAATTTTTCTTTTCTTCTCTTTGTTGGATGATGAAGATGAAGATGGAGATTAATTTGAAGGTTTGTTTTTCTTATTTCTCTTTTATTGCTTATTAGTTTAGATTTATTTTCATGCTTGTAATTAGATTTTATTTTTTTGTTTAAATAGCCAAGAGGCTAGAACCCTCTTACCTTAGATTTATTTCATACTTATAGATTAGATTTATTTTAATTTCATACTTATAGATTAGATTTATTTTATGCTTATAGAGTAGATTTATTTTCTTGCATTTAATTCTTACAATTTACTTTGTAGTTTAGATTTTGTAATTTATTTTGTAGTTAGATTTTAATTTCTTGTACTATTCATCTTGAGGCTAGAACCCTCTTGGGTTTAGTTTTTCTTTTTATTTATTTTTATTTTCTTTGGTTCGCCTTTAGGCTAGAACCCTCTAGGGAATCACCATTTTCTAAGAAGTGGATTCAATTCTGGATAAGATTTCAATCCAATGGCTCTCATTCACTGATGTTTACTATAAATAGGGGTAGAGAGTGAGGGGTTAGAGGTGTGAAAATTTTTATAACTCATTTTGGAGAGAATGACTACTCTTAATTGAGAAGACCTTCCAAATTTGTAACTTTTTGTTACAATTAATAAAAGAATTTTTTTCACCACTTTAAATTTTTCTTTTCTTCTCTTTGTTGGATGATGAAGATGAAGATGAAGATGGAGATTAATTTAAAGATTTGTTTTTCTTATTTCTCTTTTATCGCTTATTAGTTTAGATTTATTTTCATGCTTATAATTAGATTTTATTTTCTTGTTTAAATAACCAAGAGGCTAGAACCCTCTTGCCTTAGATTTATTTCATGCTTATAGATTAGATTTATTTCATGCTTATAGAGTAGATTTATTTTCTTGCATTTAATTCTTGTAATTTATTTTGTAGTTTAGATTTTACAATTTATTTTGTAGTTAGATTTTAATTTCTTATACTATTCACCTTGAGGCTAGAACCCTCTTGGGTTTAGTTTTTCTTTTTATTTATTTTTATTTTCTTTGGTTCGCCTTTAGGCTAGAACACTCTAGGGATCTCCATTTTCTAAGAAGTGAATTCAATTCTAGATTATCCATATCTTTAATTGAATCCGTCATCTTTACTTTCTTGAATTTTATTTTCATTCTTGATTTTCCTTTTTGATTCTTGATTTTATTCATCTCTCATTAAGGAAATCATTCATTCATTGTCACATCCACTCTCACTTACATTTTGTGCATATTTACACACTATCACCTTCTTAATCTCTTCACAATCACATTCACTCATCACTCATATTTGTCACATACATAACATAAGAACTGATTTTATATTTTCTCCTACAAAACACCTTCCTCGTGGGATCGATATCTTTATACTATAACTTGACACGGTTGTACACTTGCAACATTTTTTGGTACATGTTTTTGCCGCATCACTAAACTTCGGGGCAAGTTCCATGCTAGGCTTTCGAGGGGGATTTTTTTTACTGTTTAACTAGAGAAATGTTGTTTTTGTTAAAGAAAGATACTTCAGTTTATGAAACTTTTCAAAAGTTTACAGCGTTTTCTGTTATAATTTTAAAAGTTCAAGGGGGTTTATTACAATCACCTCAAAGTTCAGCGCTCAATTTGTGAGATTAGCGCTTTATCTATATAAAGGAGCCAAAGCTAAGAAAGTGGGTTGTATCTTTCAACCCCAAGATAAACAAGGATGTGCACTAAAGTAAACAAATATATGATTACCAAATTAATATGATTAGAAGAGCACACCATCACTGATGGAAATGGAAATCTTTTTGTCATGCGCCCACCTAAAGGTCTCCACAAAGCAAGGGGTACTAGTTAAGCAGTCAATCTAATTTGCAAGAAGGAAGGCACTCATATCTTCAACTTGTTAGCTAAACAAATGATATTAAAGCATGAGGATATATACAAATAAGAGCAAATGGAATGATTGAAAAGGAATAAGGAGACTTATTTAAGGGTTAAGTGCTCCCTACCACTATAATCACTAATTATGGCTCTATCAATTATTTGGATCCTATCTTAGACTTGTCCATCACAATTAAAGTTCTCTAATCAGTTACATGGTACCTTTTACCTTGGGCTGTTTGGTCTAATTAAGAAGCTAATCTAGATTGTTAGAGAATCTAATTTTGTCCGGTAAATTGGTTTGCAGCTCCTGTTAGAATATAAAGTTATAACCTTTGATCAGTACTAGTCCAGAGTTTTGGTGCAATGATGGGGCTCTTTGACATGATATCAGAGCAAGTCAGATTGAAATCCAATTGACCATAAATTTAGAGCAGGTTTTAAAAAAATTTGATATCACTGCGTGTGTCCTAACTCCGGCCGATAGAAAGAGCACCCAACATGCAGACTCACATTAGACTACGAAATTACAATCCTCGCTATAACTTTAGATTTTCGGCACAATCAGAAATTTCTTTGACAGCTCCAGCTGCTGTAAATTGGAAATAAACAAATCATTCTAAGTAGGATTGTTTAGCTAATGCTAGGATTTTGATTTAGGGTGTTTCTGGCTTTGCTCCAAAATCATTTACACACCAAAAAAGATCCTAAATGAGTTCGGATTGGGCCGCTCGGGCCTGGGCTCTTATTTAACTGAGCCCAGCCAATTGATGAAAAATAAAAGAAATAGAAAACAAATTAACAAAAAATATCTCTCCTCCCCTCTTCCTCCTCTCTCTCTCTCTCTCTCTCTCTCTCTCTCTCAAATGAGCACTGGGCTTAGCTCGCCTTACTTTTCTCAATGTCAAGGGTACGCTTTCTGCTATCTCTGTTCTCATTTCAAAACCCATTTTTTAATATCAAACACTAGTTTATTTAATAAATAATTAGCATCAAATGGGTTTCTCTCCCTTCAAATTTCCTCTCTCGCTCCTCCACCCCCCTAACCTCAGTTTCCCAGTAACCCAGATTCTATTTACAAGTCCCCACCTTTTGTATCTCCACAACAAAATTTAGTCATACTCACAAGACCCATCAAGAATTAGACCCTAAATTACTCCATGATGTTCCATATTATAATGGTCTCTATTCAAGATTTTTTTTTATTGGTAAACTAATTAATCGAATTATGTTTTGAGGTTCTTCAAATAGATGAAGGATTGATCTAGTTACATGCATATGATGTATGAGAGGTTTATTGGGTAAATTGCACTATACCCTCCAAGAACTTTCAGAAGTAAACCACTAATGACTTTCAAAATCGCACTAAATCCCCAATAATCTTTTGGAATTGCAGAAAACCCCCAAAAAGTTCCCGCATGTTATAGATAACGCCCATAAATTAGAACAAAAAACAACATGAGAAGGCATTTTGATTTATTGGGGGTTTAATGTGATTTACCTAAAGGCTATTGGGGGTTTCTGCTAAAGTTATCAGGGGTTAGTGAGATTTTTGAAGTTATTGGGTGTTAATTCCAGAACGTTGGAAGTTCTCGGGGCTTATTGTAATTCGCCCTCATTTTATTCTTTTATTTATAATGCCCCTTTGCAAAGCATAATGATTGGCTCGTGAACGAGTTTTGTTTGATGATATGCTGAACATAAAAAGTGAAACAATTAATATTTCACCATTTTTTGGTAAATATTCTACATTTGAGATCAATTCAATTGACAAATAGAGAGGAAGGGAATTTCCACTCTCCAGTGAACCCCAAATGCTGTTTTGATTCATTGCCTTCTACCTTCTGATTGTTTTTTTTCCCCTGCTGTGTTCACTGGATGTTCATGATATCAAGGTTTTAAATGTCGGCCGACATGTCGGACATATCGGCCGACATGTCGGTTTGAGGGCTTGAACGACACGACATGGGCGTTTTCAACTCGTATGTCGGTTTTCAGGGACAAAACGGAAATATCGAGGCCATATCAGGCATATCGACCGATTTTTAAGCCTTGAAAAATCGGCCGATATGGCCCTTCTTTTTCAAGATCTGTTTTTTGTTATCGGGTTTGGGTTTAGTGATAAAAACCCAAACCCGTTTGACCCGTTCTCATGTTTAAGGGTTTCTTATGAACCCGATAGAAATAAAAGAGAAAAATTAGGATTACAACGGACTTGGGAACCGATCACTCATTTCGTGAACGACGACGCCCTTCCCCCACCTCCATCTCGGACCCCCGTCATCCATCTCCCGTTGCGCCCCGAAATTCGAACCCCAACCAAATCCGAGGATGGCAGGGTATCCCGTCATCGCGATAAAGGGAAGATTGTGGTCGGTGACTCATCCGAAGGACCCCAAGTAGTCGAAGAAGAATAAGAAGAGCCCCGACATTATCTACCTGCGATGTCCCCTCGTCGGCACTGCCTCCATGCGATGTCGGAATCCACTCATCGTCGGCGCTGCCTCTAGAATTTATAAAATATGCTTATATTGAATTTAGGAATACTTAGATTACATTTTGGACATGATATTATATATATGCGCACCACCCGATACGACAATCCGATATTTAGTCCATGTCCCCCGATATATCCCCGATTTTCGTTATTCGACATGGATTTCAGTCGTCCGACATGAACCCGACATCCGACATTTAAAACCTTGCATGATATACAACATCTGACCGTGGTTTTTTTTCGTTTTCGATATGAAATATGTTTTCTTTTGAAATAATATATAATGTCTGCTTCATTTATGTCCATTTTGTATATACCCCATGAAGCTTCCGTTCTGATTTATTTTACATTTCCAAGTGAATCTCTCAACTCGGTAATCATCTGTTGATAACAGATTGTTTTTTTTTTTAATTATTCATGGACTTGGAACGGATTAATGCAGAATGAAATTATTCATTCAAAAGGACAATAATGAAAGAAGCTGATATGGAATTCTCCAATCTCATGTGAGCTTATTGTATTCTACTAAAAAAATGATTTTGTCATATTTATCATCTTGTCTCTGTAAGCATTTGAGGAATATGTGCTCACTCATAATATTCTGATATGATGTTGATACCAGTAGCAAATATTTTCGGATGACGAGCGTGGCGTATGTAAGCATGGGTACCTGGAAGAATGGCCTCATCGAAAAATTTCAGAATAACAAGGTAATTTTTCCAACTAATCTGGACTCTACATCACCATGGGTTTCTTCTCTTATCAAGATCCTTGTAGCAACTAAATCTCATTTCATACTTTTCTTTGTTCCCTTCTCCCTCTTGTTATATGAAGTCTTGCCTGCGCGCAAATCTTTAGCTGTACTTTTTTTACCTGGTATCATCCTGTTTATGATTACTGGGTACTTATTTTTCTTATATAATCGATAGATGTAAACAAGAGAAACTCACACTCTGAAATTTCTTTGAATGTTTTTACTCGCTTTCTTTCTCCTTTCAGGTCCTTGGATTCTCTACGTATATACTTTGTACACCAATTCTCCCGTCTGTAACCCTAACCTCAAAATGGTAGCATGTTGTTCTGGTTCATCTTCATCATTGGCGAACCGAGAGCCTCTAACAAGTAATTTTGGTTCGACGTGCCAAACCCTGTTGCTGAAGAGCCGAAATCACCGAAAGAAGTCTGCAAGTCATCCAGATTCAGGTCCATAAACCAGTCATTGTCTTCTTTCTTTAGTCCGACCTGAGGAACCTGAGGTTGATATATTTGAGGTGATACATTGTCACTGTCTGATCTTGCATCATCTGCTGCATCCATTAATGAACCCATCGCATCGTCAAAGGATGACGACTGCTGCGTTTTCGCCCAGTTGTTCTTCTTGTTGTATAAGCGGCATAAAACCCAGTCATCCAACTGCAAGATGAATTTCGATGAGAATCCGTGTCAAATAATAAAAAGATCAGTGCCGAGTGACACTCACCCTAATGCTGTCTTTCCTGTTGGGTGCACGATTAGCATCAGCGAGTCTGTACTCGTGCATGATCCAGTCAGTCTTGATGCCTCTGGGGGCTTTTCCAGAGTAGAAAACTAAAGCTTTCTTGATCCCGAGAGGCTTTTTGCTTCCCGGTGGTGAGACCGGTTTGTCAGCACCGGTGGCTTTCCAGTACCCTTTTCCGGCAGCACGGTTGGGGCGGGAACCGTTAGGGTACTTTCGGTCCCGTGGAGTGAAGAAGTACCATTCCTTTTGTCCGAAGAGCGCTTTTTCTGGTTGAAGGGAAGTAAGTAAACTAATCAGTTCAAAACTCGAGATTTTAGAACATTATCAGAGCAACTCATATTCAAATCATGCGTAAATTTCAATAGATTTTAATATTGTGTCAGTCGGAACTAGATTCGAATATTATCAGTCTCACATTTTAAAGCAAGGTTTCGATATAATAGAGGAGATTTTAAGAGACGATCAGACTCTAAGTCATATCAGACACATTTTAAAGCGGATACGTCGTGACGTAACTAGTCAAGATTTCGGTCCATAAAAAACCGTCAAACATATGTTAGGATATATATACCTGGTAGGTTCCAAGGGTCATGTTTGTAGAGATCGACCTCCGCGATGATTGGAACGGGTAGTCGTTGGTAGGCAGCCTTTCTACACAGATAGTGGACGACGAGCTCCTCGTCGGTCGGATGGAACCGAAACCCAGGCGGCAGGTTGAGCTCGGCCTCGGCGTCTCTGCTTCTTCTTCCTCCTCCCATTCTTCTTCTTCTTCTTCTCCTCCTCCTCCTCTGTTGAAGTTTAGTATAAGAGCTTTGTTTTGCTGGTGATGCCCTGAGCTAAGAGGTTTTGTTCGTGAAACAGAGATTATGTTTGTGTGCCGTATATATATAGCTTGTGGTTTTGGCGTTACTATTGGTCGTGGGCCCGGGCGGTTCGCACGTGCGAAGCTTCCTTTGGGATGGGTGGGTCAAAAGGGAACGCGGCAGCACGTGTCTTCTTCTGAAAACGGCCCCAAGCATTGAATTCTTGAAAATATCTGAATATTAAGCGCACTCGGTTTTTGGTTGCACCCAGCTGTAGACCCTAAGAATTTGAATCATACGCGCTAATGTGTACTGCTGCAATGAGCTTGTCGGCATGATTTATTAGGTATGTTTTTGTTCACTAGTCATGAATGTATATGCTGATGAGTATGATTTTGTAAGGAAAAACTCGTAGATCATAGTTGTCAATGTTGAGTATGTGTAAACTCTCTTGATCATTATAATTGACCTCATATGTATCACCAAAGTCAAGTTAGTACCTCTCGTCTCAATGATGAATATATTCGAATGTATTTGTGTTCATTTGTGTTCTTGTCCTTATCGTACCAAGAAGTTTAGATGTTCGTATCTGTATCCTTATCGAAATTAGATGCATATGTATTTTTGTTTTTTAAATATCATTTCATTTTTAAATGTGCCAACGGCTGTCACTTTTTTTTTGTTTTGAAAATGAATATAGTATCCTTCAAAAAAAGAATTTCAACTACAAACTTGAACCAATATTTCATTCTTATAAATTGATATAATCCCTTGTTAATTAGGAATAATCATATTCTAATAAAATGCTGGTCCCACTAGTCAATCATAGGGAGTCGAATTTTCTGGTCTTCCTAAAGTCGCTGCTTTAGAGGGGCTATGAGAAAGCAAGGTTCATGCACCGCTGAACAGCACCCACATTTCTCTTGTGGTGAGTTTAAAGCTTGTTAATTGAGTTTTTTAAAATAATGTACGTAATTAAATATTTTAATTAGTGGAGATTTATTATGTTGCAGCTTCGTGATGTGACTCTAAAATAGGTGCATCTCCCCTTTATCGTCTCAAGCCATGCACGTGATGTATAAACTTTTAATATATGCGCCATGATTCATTGAATTTAAAAATCAAAACAAAAGACACAAGACTTATGGTGGTCTGCTTCACATTATGATATCATTGCAAACGTCCATGCACGCACTCAATAATCCCATTTGAAAATCAGTTCTGACTTAGTTATATCTAATTATTATTTATCTTAAATAAAATAAAATAATTTTAAAAAATGTTAAATGGATGCAATTAAAAAGTACATGATAATAATTACGTCGATAGAAGAAAACCGTTCACGTAATTGAATGAAACAATATGGTTCATGTATTCCTATTCAGAAAATTTAGAATTTAAATAAAGTTATTTATAGAAATCATCTTTAATTGACAATTTATAGGTGAATCGCTTTTAAACAAGTTTTTGTTGCAATCAACTAGCTGGAGTCATTTTTAGTTAAGTTTTTTAGTTTTGTTGTAATGATTAGTGGATAAATAACAAGTAGGGTAGATTATTAAAAAACACTTAACTGAAAAGTAGATTCTGGTAGTTGATTGCAATTAAAAAACCATTTAAAGATGATTTATGTACAATTTGACAATTAATGATGGTTTTTGTAGGATGACTTTGTTTTAAAGATGATTTCTAAGGGCAAAATCCTTTAGAATAAAGACTTTCTTGTTGCAATCTAAGAAAATGATTGAATAAACGGTTTATACATTAATTTTCTTTAAAGAAAATAGTAGAGTAAATAAAAATAAACTATTTACTTACTCGTTGGGTCTTTGTCTTGATGCTTCCCAAGTTTTTCGGCGGCCCAAGAAAGAGCGTGGCCGACAGCAGATACGACCAGTTGAAAATAGAAAATCTTTTAGATCTCTGAACTTCAAAAATTTTAAATTATCTAAACTTTGGTGGAATCTGAGCTATGTCTGCTTGTTAACATCTTGGAAATTTCATAAATATTAGCTCCTGTGCACGTAAAATGCACGTGGTTAAATATTAAATTTTTTTTGTTTATTTTTTTACTATAAAATAAGTCATATTTATTTTGAGCTAAAATCTATAAACATGGATTATTACATTTATCATAAAAATTTATTTAAATATTTTTTAAAAAATTATGAAATAGATTTGTGTGTAAAACTAGGATCAATATACTTTTATATACTTGCATACACATCGTTTATTTTTTAAATTTGTATATATTAAACTTCATGTGATATATTTGTTTATCGGATCAAATCATCGATCTTCAATTTGTTTATCTTAGTCATTAAATGTAGTGTTAAGTTTGAAAAAAATACGATAATATATTGTTGAAGTGTTAATAAAAATATAACCAAATACTTAATATTAAGATGGTTTGTATAAGCTCAGCACAGAGCACATACTTTTTACTAGACTACGAGACATCTTAATAAACTTAAAATAAAAAATAAACACTAAAGATTAATGATGACTCTAGTATAATTTTATATGACAAAATCATTCACATAAGCATATTAAAAAAATTGCATGAAAATCTCTTATAAATATTCCTAATTTTACTCAAAAAA